GGGGGGATATAAGGGGGATGTTTTTGTATGGGATTATGATTTGTATTTAAGTTTGTTTTTTTCTGAGTAATAAATTATATGCAATATTGAGATTAGATTACATATTTATTTTTGTCCCGGGCATCTTCTAGTACTGGGCTATATTAAGGTTTTTGCGTGCATGGTTCTACCTATACAGGCAGAAGAAGGAATGCAGCAAGACACGTGCAGCACTGGTATATGCCTGGACAGACAGCCATCACATGACAACACATCAGATTACATTCCAATTATAATTTTGTGTCTGTGTCTGTTCCTGGTTTTTGTGTTTCTAAAACATTTTTTCATAAGCTATGCAACATCCAAAACAGACTTTTTTTTAACCTGCCACTGACCTGGGAAACTCAAATGAATCATACAAGGAACATTTATAATCTGAGGTTACCTTCAGGAAAACCGAATATTCAAACAATCAGTAAATCCATTGTTGCTAATAACAAAAAAAAAGCAGCTTCCACTGTGTTGTGAAAGTTTTCTATTATGTGTAAAAGGTAAGTGGTATGCCAGAAAAGAAAGCAAGTAGTAACATAATGAACAGTATTTGAGGAAAATTACATTCCCTGTTATGTTTTTTTTTATTATTTAATAGTAAAGAGATCAACTTGATATAAATAGCATGGCATGGTAATTGTTTAAAAAAAATGCTTTAGCACATTGCAGGAAACAGATCTGCTTTAGTTTGTCATCTACTGGGTATATTGCCCTCTGCAGGAATTGGATGCTACAGACAACTAAAAAAAAAAAAAAAAAAGCCCCTGCTGGTGGGCATAACCCCCCACACAGTGTCTAGGAGCTTGGGCATAGAATTTTCCTCATGGAATTCCTACTTCTTTTGATTTTACTACATGCAAGTGTCACTGGCTAGTTGACAGTCCTGATAATAAAGATACTGGTAGTCTCCCCAGTTGCAGCCATCAAGTGCATGCAGTTGCTTGCCACATGCAGGTTCAGCTGCAATAGCCCAGTTTCCTTGTGGGGTTTTTGCCCTGGGGGGGTACTTGTGACCAGCCAACCCAATAATCTATCACAGTTTTCTCTTTAACAGCCAAAGGAACCTCAGCTTCAGCTGATGGTTTGGTGCCAATGTCTTGTATGGAGCATTAGGATTGAAAACAGAGCTTCGCCGTAAGGTGGTAAATACTGTTTTCCCCCTCTCACAGGAAATGCTGGAAGGTGGTGGAGTAAGGGGCAGTCCTGTAGTGTACAAGTTGCTGGCTTCCAGCTCCAGACTGCACGGCAAGATGCCTTTCCTGCTGGGTGTTTTTTCAGCTGCAACATAGAAGGCTGTGTTTACTCTCAGCACTGTATGTACCCTGGATTAGAGGTCCTAACCCTGCACTGTCATAGATCAATGGGAAGTGCCAGAAGTGAGATGTCAAAAAGAGGGGGTCAAGCCTCTGTCGGAGGTCTGCAGGACAGGGACCCTTTTTTGCCCCCAATGCGGTATAACGGTGCAGGGGTCTTTGGGGGAGCTGTTCTGTAATGAATGCAAACCATCAACTTCTGTATTCCTCCTATTCTTTGGTTCCCCTCTTCCAACCTATAATGTTCTATTTTGGAAAGTTTTTTTTGTCACAGCCGAGTAAGAAACGTCCACACTGTGCCCAGTTTTACACTCGTTTCACAAACCTTAACAGAGTGGACAAAACTCTTAC